TAATAAACCTAATGCTAGTAATGATGAAAATACTGCTCAAAATACATTAATAATGCAACAATATAAATTGTTACTTTTTTGCCTAGATTAATTATTTAAAGTGCACTTTTTATTTTCACTGGCTGCAAAGATCGAAAACAGAAGGTTGGTGATGGATGTGGTGGGTATCCCTCCCACCTTGCAATCCTGAAATGTTTCTGGTTTATATTTGGAGCTGTTGCAAGATTGCTGGCATTATCCAGACGTGACCTGATTTGATTTATGTCTCATTAATCTCCCAATCTCTCTTTCTTTCCTTCTCTCTGCCAAACGTGTCGACCTTCCTCTGTCACAAACGTCTCGTGTTTCATAATTTCTCGCCGTCCTTTCCKAGAATGCGGTGTCAGAGACTGAGATTCTGCCAGTCACTTTTACGTTCATAATCAGCAAGCACTCATGCATTAACRCAGGTAACAGACTCAAGTGAGTCCACTGAAACTTTGGCCTCTTTTTGAAAATCAGTTTGAATGAGTTTGTACAAACTGAGGGCAGAGCATACGTTTTATAAATACAGTAAAAGAAACAAAAATCCTTCATGTTGTACTCCAGTCAATAGATTTACGTTATGACTTTTGTGATCTTGTGTTTTCAGTGTCTTGTAAGATCGACAAATAATTTATCCATGTCTGACTGATTTATAATGCAAAAGTAAGATACACACCCGGGAATTAAAGCATTCATAAAAATGACTGAAACCACAGAACGAGCTGGAAGGAACTGCTGTGCACTACAAGAACTGAAAACTGAATTGAAGAATATTAGTCAGAAAGATGTTGTATTAATTACAGATATGGATTTGTTGTGTCATTTAAAAGAAAACTATGAGTTTTGAATTACTTTGATTTTCCTTTTGATTACATTATACAGTAGTGCCATGCCAGGGTCTCAGAAATGGAAAACTGAGAACCGGTTGGCAAATAAAACAAACAGAAAAAAAACACTTACCACATTACCCTGAGGAGTAATGGGATGTGTGTTATTTTCTAATTGGCAGTAATAAATAATAAGTAGCTTTGTTGCCATGGAAGCACCCTACTCTATTATGGTGTTTCACAAATGTAGAAGAAATTATTGACATATATTTTGTATTAGATAAAGTCTATGCGTCTTGATGTTCCTCTGTAGTCTTAGTTTTGTCTCCGATGCCGTTGAAGAGTTTTTGAAAGCATCCTCCTCAGTTTGATCATACTACATCTAATCATTCAATAAAATTGATTAAAAAATGCTGTTTCTAATCTAATTTTCCAAATAGGACCATAAGGCTTGCAACATTATTACTTGAATGATATTACCTTCAGCACTCCACAAAGGTTGGATGTTATCTCATAACTAAATCGGCTGATTTGTCATTTTAAACATAATACTGTATGTGATGGAGGTTGTGACTTTATTAATAATTAATGTATTGGCTTTCACTCAAGATGTAAATAAAGATTTAGCTCAAGTGTGGAAGGTTTCTCTTTGATAAAGCTGAAAAAATATCCAATGTTGCAGATTTTGCTCTTTCATTGTCTGCCCCTTCTGAGCCATTCTTTAGTTCTTTGTCACAGACAAAGAGACAGATAGCAGTTTTTAATCTTTTACAAAAGTTGGAAAATGCWTTATTTTCCCTAATCTTATTCTTTGATCTTTTTTTCATCTAATTCCATCCCTGCACAGTGTAAATCCAGTTTGGCTGCTTTCTTTGTCAGTGTGCTGACAAACTGTTTTGTTTTGTAAATCAACTTCATATTTTCTGCTGCCGTAATTTGGATGCAGTTCTGCTGATTCACTGTTTATTCCTTGTTTGAGGTTTGATCTATTGAAAAGAGGAATGTGTAAATAGAAAAATGAGACACAGGGGTTGAGGGAAACTCTTCAGAAACACAGACTGCAGCTTTTTTAGTAGGTACTTACTCATATTTTCCTTTAAAAAGTGCTGTGCACCAGAAATCGTCAATTTTTTGTACTTAATTGTGTCAAGTTAAATTCACAAATTTAGTAAGTATTCACATTCCTTTACAAGTTATCTAATTTGTTGGAATCACGACTGTTTTGTGTGGCACATTCCTCTGACCACTTAAATGAAAACACGCTTTTTTTTCTCCACCCACAGTTTTGGCTGCTTTTAATTTTGTAAATGAAGAATTAATGGTGGCAGAAATCATACAATTAATCAGCATTTATAGTAATAGCCCGTTCTTTAATGGGAGGGTAAAAATCTGTTACATTTATTTTTTCCTATTAATTAAACACACTATACAGCAGCACACATTGCTGCAATCCAGCAAAAGCAATGACATTTTTTTTCAAAAAATACTAAATATATTTTCTGTGATTGTATATTACTGCATTGGGGAATGATTGTACTATATGTATGCTACAATTGAGACAAACTTTATTTAGAGAAACACATTTGGTTGAAAATGTTATGTTAAATAATTGGTAAATCTGTTTACGAGTAAATTTTTGATATCAAAGAAAAGTAACACAAAGCACAATATATTCCACTATATTCAAACAACAATATGTTTGAATGTAGAAAGTACATTAAACTATAAAAAATAAACAAACAGTCAAACAAAAAAATAAACCTCTTGTCATACAGATAAAAAATAATTTGACTAGTTTGTCACCAAAATACATTGACAGTCTTTTTTTGTTCTTGTTGTCCTTGTAATTATTTTAATTTAAATATATAGATTTTTTTTACCTTTACCAGTTAACAATGACAACTAAGAACATTGAAACAATGGAAGATATTAAATAATTAATCAGTCAAATATGTATATAAGTAAAACAAATACAATTATTAAACCTGACAAGCGAATCGGTTAAACTTCTATGTTGAAATCACACTTCATTAACTTCTATTTCTTTTATAAAGTGAAGCCTAAACCTCTAATTTTGATGTGTTACTATTTTTGTATTAGGCCTACATATCAGTTTTTCTTTCTAATCTAAACTGAAAATCTTTTTTTGATATTTTTATTCACATACAGTAGATGTTTTTGGAGCACTAAGTAGTGCTGTATGTGTTGCAATCAGACATTTCTAGACATTTTGACTTGATTGAGAGAATACTGGACGGCAAGGTTCCTCATAATTGTGACCCCCACACACAAAGTGAGGGTTATATTGTTTTCGTACTGTACTTAGCTCTGATAATGGGCTATCCATCAAGGCCCCCAGCCCACTGGACCTGGGTTCCTAGACATACAAAAATACTCATAACTCAAAAACTATTCAACACTGGAGCTTCAGATTTATTTATTTATTTWTTTTTTTTTTTTAGCTCTGATGAAGGGTTATCCATTGGGCCCACCAAAGAGCCCCACCCCCACTCCAAACAATAAATCTGTTCTTGTAAGTTCTGAGTTCTACACTGTAAAAAATGAAATGTTGGATTTACTTAACCATGTTATGTGACCTGGTTCCACTTAACTGAGTTGAGTAAATTCAAAGCAATATACCAGTTTCTTAACCAAAGAACGAGCATTTTGCTTAGAATTTACTCAACTCAGTTAAGTGGAACCAGGTCACATAACATGGTCAAATAAATCCAACATTTCATTTTTAGAGTGTACTGCATCAGTGCTTTGCGTACGTGCAGGGGTCATATATGCTACTGCTATGCGGTATCTAGTATCCCACTATCAAATATAAATCACATAGCACAGCTGTTGCAGCTGTTTTTCCTCCTTTCTTCCCTTCTCCCACAGAGATGCAACACAGATATCAGCAGCTTTCTTGTGAAACTGTTTATATGAGTAAGATTGAGACTGCAAGGACAGTATGCTCAGAGAAAAATAAAAAAGGTTAAAGCATCCCATTTAAAATTGCTAAAATATTGTGCGAAAGTATGTTTTGAATATTTGTAAAAAGAGAGTTACAAATCTCCAGAATAAAGAAATTCTTTGAGAACTTTTAATTCATAATTTGGTTTAAGCTACTATTGGTCATCTCAAACATGCATTAGACTTGAACACTCAGTAACTGTTTTTAACAAAGTTTTCTCTCTTTTTTTCAGTGGGCCCAAGTCCTCTTTAAGGAGTGGAAGAAAAGTCAATGAATTATGAATGTTCAACAAGATGACCTCCTCTCAGCAGCAGCAGATGATGCGAGGTCCTAGGTGGAACCGGGCCTTTTCCGACCCCCTATTTGTATTGCTCCTTGCCTTGCAGCTGCTGGTGGTGGCAGGACTGGTGCGTGCTCAAACGTGTCCGTCTGTTTGCTCCTGTAGCAACCAGTTCAGTAAAGTCATCTGCACCCGCAGAGGCTTGCGCGAAGTACCCGATGGCATCTCTACCAACACACGCTACCTGAATCTGCAAGAAAATCTCATTCAGGTTATAAAAGTGGACAGCTTCAAACATCTAAGACATTTGGAGATTTTGCAACTGAGCAAAAATCACATACGCAAAATTGAGCTAGGGGCCTTTAATGGACTGGCCAGTCTCAATACCTTGGAGCTTTTTGATAATCGACTTACCACCATCCCAAATGGTGCATTTGAATACCTTTCCAAACTAAAAGAACTTTGGCTTAGGAATAATCCTGTAGAGAGCATTCCATCTTATGCTTTCAACAGAGTTCCCTCATTACGAAGACTGGACCTTGGAGAGCTCAAACGACTTTCTTACATTTCAGAGGGAGCCTTCGAAGGACTCAGCAATCTACGCTACTTAAATTTGGGAATGTGCAATCTGAAGGAAATTCCCAATCTTACTCCTCTGGTAAAGCTGGATGAACTTGAGATGTCTGGAAACCAGTTAACTATTATTCGGCCTGGTTCTTTTAAAGGGCTAATCCACTTGCAAAAATTATGGATGATGCATGCTCAGATCCAGACCATCGAAAGGAACTCATTTGATGATCTGCAGTCCCTTGTGGAGCTCAATCTAGCTCACAACAACCTTACCCTTTTGCCCCATGACCTTTTCACTCCTTTACATCACCTGGAGAGGGTGCACTTGCACCACAATCCATGGAATTGCAACTGTGACATCCTCTGGCTTAGCTGGTGGCTAAAGGAGATGGTACCAGCAAACACCAGCTGCTGTGCCCGCTGCAGCTCACCTTCACACTATAAAGGACGATACATTGGTGAGCTAGACCAGAATTACTTTCATTGTTATGCTCCTGTTATTGTGGAGCCTCCTGCTGACCTAAATGTGACAGAGGGAAGTGCTGCAGAGTTGAAATGCAGAGCCAGCTCTTTGACTTCAGTAAGCTGGATCACACCTAATGGTTCCATCATGACACATGGCGCGTACAAGGTCAGAATCTCTGTGCTAAACGATGGTACATTGAACTTCACCAACGTTACCATGCAGGACACAGGCACATATACATGTATGGTCAGTAATTCTGCAGGTAACACAACAGCATCTGCCACACTCAATGTGTCTTCAACTGAGAACAGCAGTTTCAGTTACTTTACCACAGTGACAGTAGAGACTATAGAAACACCACATAATGAAGGCTTCACAACAACTGTTCAACAGAAGGTGGGCCCCACACCCTCTGCTGGCACATGGGAGACTCTTCCACCCACCTCTACTACAACCACGACATTTCGAACCCCAATCTCCACCCGTGCCACAGAGAAGACCTTCACGATCTCTGTCACAGAGGGCCCACTAAATGGTTTGGATGAGGTAATGAAGACAACCAAGATCATCATCGGCTGCTTTGTTGCAATCACACTTATGGCAGCTGTCATGCTGATAATCTTCTACAAGATGCGCAAACAACACCACCAGCAAAACCACCACGCACCGACACGCACTATCGAGATTATCAATGTGGACGAGGACTGCGTTACAGGAGGCCCAGGAATGGAGGGTCACCTGACTCTGCCGCCTCTTGAGCATGAGCACCTCAACCACTATAACACCTATAAGACTGCTTACAACCATGCCTCTACTATCAATTCCATACACAGTTCAGCGCACGAACCTTTGTTAATCCGGGCAACCTCAAAAGACAATGTACAAGAGACTCAAATCTAATACCTTTTTGAGACATCATAAAACTGTTGTCATTACATAGTGGCATTACTGAGAGGACAGTACTGATGAAAACTCATGAGGACTGTAGCCCAACATGGAAGAAAAGACTTGCAATTTGCAAATCACTGGCTGGTGATGTTAACTCAAAAACTTTGGAAACTAGAATATGTCTACTGTTTCAAAAAGTGTCTTTACAAAACAGAAGTTATTTATTTAAGAAAAAAAATATATTGTGGTTTGATCAAGAAAAAAATCTGCAATTATTTTTGTCAACCGATCCACATTGTATTTTATTTTTCTCATATCACAAGATTGGTTTACAAATACGCTTTTGAGTTTATAAAGGAGACATCTGGTAAAGAAAAAAAGCAAATTGTCTTTTGTTTTTGTAGTTGTTCATTCAGTATAACTGCAGAACTTGAAAGTAGCCAACCCCCCAACCCCCACTTCCCACACACACACACACACACCAACACCACCACCACCCCTTATAACAAAAAAAATAGAGCACATTAGGGATTTTTTCCCAGCTGTGGATGAATTGATTGAAATCTTCTGTAACCATCTGGAACAAAGTTGAATTAAACACTTGACAGTATGAAAGTGCCAGTGATGAAATCTGACCATAATTCACTGTTTAATTATAAATGTCACATACATTAGGCACTCACTCTGTCATTAAAAGTCTGGGGATTTTGGGAAAAAAAAGGAAATAGGTCCTGCTTTTGGCTGTTGTTGGAATGGACTCTCCTTACTCCCATGATTTTTAATAAAACAAATTACATTGACCTGTATGTCTTTCTATCACTAATGCATATGCTAAATATAATTTTATTTCAAATTGCAAAACTGCCTTGACTATAATCCATGATTTATCTGAGGAATCCTTTTATTGTTTTAACAAACTTGCTTTCATCTTCATTACAAAATATTGAAGTTCTAAAAGTCAAAAAGGCAGTAATAAATACTTAATCATTACAATTGAACTTAGCAGGATTCATGTCTGTGTTGATGAATATTATTTTACATTTTGGCAAAAGTTCAGCTCCATGAATTTGCTCCAAATTATTCTGAACCCACACTTACATTTACTGTACCTTGTGGTGCTGAGTAATGTTACTTATTAAGATGCTTAGGCACCAACTTTTTTTCATGCTCAGACCTGTTACCTCTTCCGCAGTACTGCAGTAGTGCTGTCAGAATCAGACTGATGAACTGAAAGAAAGAAACAAACAAACAAAAAAAAAAAGCTTGAACCCTTTATGCAGTTGTCTGAGCACATTGCTTGTCATATGTGTGTCACATTTGCACATGGGGATGTTTGGCAACCCAAGATGCACACCCTGCCCATGCAGCCATCAGACTTGGCCCTAAGTGGCAAGGCTTATGCTACAAGAGGCTTTACACTGTGCGAGATCAAACATCAACCACATGTTTGAGTTGCACCTGTCTCTCCCTCTCTTTTAGTGACAACACAATTTACATTTTAATTGATATGCCCATGGGCTTTGGAAGGACTAAGCTCTGCAGGCACCCATATCCAAGAAACCATTTCAGAGTCCCCACTGTGAAAAATGGTGCCAAGCCTCGTAAATGCAGTGGTAAGGCAGACATTTGGCAGATGGTCCAAGTTTTACTTTTAGCAAGTAAGTAGTGTTTCTGCTCAACAGTAACATTTCTATTACGGTCATGCTACTGCCATGTTTCTTTAAAATGGCACTGATGTAGCATAGCAGCTGCAGATTTACAGCATATTCCACTAACATGAAATCTATTTCTTACCTTCAAACACATTTAACATTGATGGTTTCTGATATTTCTCTATAGGCATTGAAAATGGCTGACAAACAAATTAAATCTTTCTTCTATCTTTTGTGCTTTTTAACAACGTTATCCATGACTTTATTTCAGCAAAACATCTAATTGTTATTACTGTTTGATAAGATTAAATTCAGAATATGTGCATGTCTCGTCTCAGTCATCTTTTACAGAAAATGCTAAAGCATTTAGTTTATTTTTGTTTTGATACTGTTGAGGTTACAAGCTGTAATATCTGAAGGTCTATGCAAAAAGCCCTATTATCTAATTTACAGTGTGTCAAAACTGTACAATTTCTTTTCAAATACAAAATGAAAACTGCAAAATTTACAGTTTGTAAAACCCATTCTCACTAATTGTAGTACAAAAACACATCAAAACCATGTCCAATTGAACACATGATTTGTTACAAAGTACATTCAACACTAATGTAAGAGACAAATGATTTGATGTTCAAGATAAACAGGTAGAATCATAATTTGATATTGAGATAAAGGAGCAGAATATTCCAGAAGCTACTCTGACTAAAAATTCCATAAAACAGAACAGGGTAAATTAATTAAAAATGCAAGCTGTTTAGACTTTGCAATGATTAGTGTACATTTTGTGGCAAAACAAACATTTATTTAAATAAGTTCCGTAACAATCACTGGCTATGACATATTGTGTAAAATAAATAAAACAGTCACCCATTCTCCTTTTCAAACAGGACAACAATAAACACATCTAATTCACATTTTCTGCCATATGCAAAAATCTGAAAGTTTGAACAGAATTTATAAATGGGAGATCTAAAACCATTTCTGACAAAAAGCAGGTTGCTATTTTATGTTCATTTTGGAGACCTTCAATCTGGTGTGTTAAATCCATAAAGTTTTGTGAATCAGAGAAACAGAGCACTTGAGTCATTTATTTTGAATGTGCAGCACACAACACTTGAGAATTACTGCTTTAAAAAGGCCCAGCATGATCCCAGACTGACTAAAATAATGGATAAAAAAGGGATTACCTCAAATCATTAATATTTCTTGTTCCACCACCAAAACCTCATCTCTGTTACTTTTGTGGGGTCTGGCACATTTGTAAACCATAGGTTGGCCTGTGTGTGAGTCATCTCTTTCTAGATTTAAATTCCTATTGGTGCAACACGGATCAAGGTTTTACTAAGTTTTACATTTAAGACTGTAACAATTTTCTTTTTTTAAACTTAGTAACTTAGAAAAATAAAAATATTTTTTTTCATTGTTAAATTTGTTGAATTTTAATTGAACTGTCTCATGTGTGTAAGATATTTAAATATTTTCTAGTCAGTATTCCTTTTTTTACCTTTTTTGTCTGAGAGGGAATGCTGTTCTAGTGGTAGTTTACTATAAAATACATTTTGAAAATAAAATGAATAACAAAATCCTTTAAAAAAAACTTTGATTTTTCCATGTGCCAACAATCTGTTCAAAAAGTGGAAATAGAGAAACATGCTGTAACAGAATAGGCAATTGATTTTCATGTAAACATTCTTTCATGACCTTTAAAAAAATATGAAGATTGATTATAGAGACCAGAATTTGTAGTTCATACACAACATATGGTAAATAAACTATTGTTGTTTTTTGTATTGTCTGATTTTTGTTTTCAACTTTTACAGTACTTACAGGGGAAAAAAAAGCTCAACTATTATTGGTTTTATTGTCAGTTAACTTACATTTCCAATTCTTTTTTACTGTATGTGCAATATTAGTACAGACATGGATTTGTTGTAGGCATTTATTACAGTAAAATGCCTTAATAAATCACATGTAACAGTATATAATTCCCTGTATGTTCATTATTTTTCTAATATACTTTTTTTTCTAAACTAATTTTTTCCCTCAAATTCTAATGCTTGATCTCATACAAGGAATTATATACAGTTCCCATACACATAGTATTGTTTCTTTATGTACATCCATTCAGTTCTTCTTGGAAACACTCCACAAAACGGGGAGGGAGAGAAGAAAAATGCAAAACCATATAGTCATCTTATTTGTTGCAGAAATGTCTGAGAAATTCAGAAGGATTTTCTCCAAATATAATTCCTCAGTGCATTCCAGGCCAAACAGGACCCTCAGACAGCTGATTCAATTTCAGACAGAACACCTGAACACAAAGTGAGCAGTGTGGTGCGTGCAGTCTAGTCCAGCAAGGAGTGTTCACACCTCTACGTAGGTGAAAAGTAAACAACCTCTCCACAGATGCATGCCACAACACATGAGAAACAGCTTTTCAGGTCAAGGCTCAGCAGTTCACCTGCATCTTGTTATTCCTTTTCTTGGACATTTGAGGCATTCATSTCAAGCCAGATTTTCAGTGCATATAAAGCCAATGTTTTTCCTGTTGATGGTAATAAAAATGATGTGTATTATTAATGAAGCTGGCTGTCTTTAAGCTGAATAATTTCACAACACAACAAATCGGTTTCTTATTCTTCACAGTTTTGTGCTGTATTATGTATAGTATTTCCACATAGTTCAATTCTAAACAATCAATAAATCAAGTTTATTTGTATAGCACATTTCAGCAACAAGGAAGTTCAAAGTGTGTTACATTATAAAACACAAAAAATCATAGAACACAGTTACTAATTGAAGCCTTTGTCAAGTGTCTTTATTACACATCAGAATGTCGATTGTTTCATACGACAATCAAGTAACTTTTACCTTCAGTTATTGTGAAAAAAGTGGCCTAAATCAAATATAAATTTAATGACTTTGCATCATAGCTAAATACCTTTACTGTATAATTGGCTTATATGTCCTTAAGAGCCTTTTACAATTTATGTCACTCCCACTTCAACACGTTTTCAAACAATGCTTGGGGGGAGGGGTTCTCTGTGGGGGAGGAGCTCAGCTGGGGACTGAGCTTCAGGGAGGAGCTTTGTACAAATAGGCAGTGCACCAGCAAGTGTTTAGGCAGCTCCACATGGCTACCATGGGAAATTCAAGGATTTCTCAAACATGCGTAAATGAGTCAAAACAACACGCTGGGTATGTTTTTGAAGAGGGAATGACAAAAAGTCAATTTTATACCACCCCTTTAAAACATATTAACTTTGAGGTTTGAACAAAATATTACACCTTGAAATTAGAACATACTTTGAACTGTCAAACCAATTTCACATAAACAAATGCTTAAATTAGCAATATGATTARATTTAGAATTTAAAATAATAAAAAACCCTACACAGCTAAATCAAATAAAAGGTAATTTACCCATCTTTTTAAATAGTTAGTCCATTTAGTCACACCTTCACACAAATATGTTTGGTAAATATCTTGCTTGTAAAAGTGTATTTGATTTGTTTCAGACTGTGTGAAGGTGGAAGGCACACTTGTTAAAAACATAATGATTTAGATAGGGTAAATTTGCAGTACATGTTCATTCAAAGAAATATTTTTTTATTTAGCGACAAGATATTTTCTGTTTTCATGAACATTTTAAAAAAGCCCTGCAATTGTATTTCATTTCTTTAAAAAATGTTTTGGATTATTTTTTTTTCCAGTAAGCTCTGATCTGTTGCCAAACATCACAAATAAATGGTACTGACAATTATTTCCTTCAGTGCTTATGATTGCTACACACCTGCCATCGGTAATGTTGTTCATTTCTGCAGAAACCCAACAATTCTTAATGTCACAGGGTCAGAAAATAAATATATTTATGTTTTATATTTATGTTTTCATTATTACAAGATATTGAACATTCCAAGAAAATATACAAAGTGACTGTTATGTTCATAATAACTACATAACAAATGCAGAGTTTACATAAAAACATGAACATTACAAAAAATATGCTGATAACTTGATTCTGTTTGGTGAATTTATAGTCATGACCTGTTCAGTAAATGTCTTAATAAAATCACAAAACTTAAAATGTTAAGTTTGGAAATGTTTTAGTCAAGTTAAAATGCAATCCTTATATTTAAGATATTTTCAGCAAGTTGAAGTTATGTCAGCATATTTTAAATTATATGCATGATCACTACATTTAACTGCTGCAATGAAAAGCGATGAGGGGATTAAAAAATAAAAAAAATCATTGAAGGAATGTGATAAGGCATAATAAACTAATTCCCACAGTAGTCACCTAATCCCAACTCAATTATACTCCAAACAAGTGAGCAAATCTAGCTTATTTGTGTTTTTTTCCTCACTCTGACACATGTGCCAATGTTCCATTTTATTCTTGCTTTTGTCTTTAACACATCTTATTTCCACCATCGAACCTTATGAAAATAAATACATGAAAAATGATCTGCCAACAGGTTTCAAGACCAGCAGCACACATGGATTGCAGGTTAGTGTCAATTTATTTTTGAACAAAACTGATGAGTGACCAGCTACATCCCTCAGTCTCATGAATAAACAAACTTTTATTTTGAATTTACAATCAGCAGATACATATTAAACTGATCATTCATTCATTCAAAACTGCATGCATTAATGTTCTTTCTTTTTTTTTTGTTGTTGCTTTAATTTTGGAATAAGTTGCCCAAATAATACCTTAATACAAATAATTACTCATTTGAAAATGAAAATAGAAAGTAGCCAACACAAATTGTCCCTAAACACCTTATTAAAATGAAATATCCTTCCCCCTGCTTTTCTATTAGAACTCATTTATTACATAAGAAAAACAGTGGACTACCAAGCAATGCACTGGTATTAAGCACACGGTAATTTAACTGAGCCTCAGGAGCAAAATAAATAAGAAAATGAGGAGTTTAATGGCGCATTAGTGAGCAGGCAGTTGAAGAGGCCCCGAGCTGTGTTTTAAACAGGCAGCCATTACAAAAACCAACCTGTGACACACATCAAACACGAGACATGTCTTTATGTTGACTCCTTGAAAAGCAGGCTGTTGATGTAAGCAAGGTTAGGGTTAGTTTAGGTTTGCTGCATGCAGTGAGTCCAGTGCAGTCAGATGCATGGTACAACACAAGTTTTTTTTTTTTTTTTTTTTTTTTTTTTTTTTCAGTTCTTCGACTGGCACTTTTACGTTGACAGTTGGCAAAAGACTTCCGCATAATGCACA